ATCTTACTTGCCTGACTCCATCTCACTTCCTCATCGGACGAACACCGTTATTGATTCCAAGTCCACAGGTAACAGATGTCAACATAAATCGACTACAACGCTTCGAGCGTATTCAAGCTCTGAAGTTACATTTCTGGCGACGGTTTTCTGACGAGTACGTGACTCTTCTTCAACGGAAGGTGAAATGGCAATCACCAAAAGGTGATAAGTTGAAAGTTGGAGCCCTGGTACTTATCAAAGATAAAACCTCACCTCCTCTCCTGTGGTCATTGGGTCGCATCACCAAACTTCACTCCGGAGTCGATTCGTCAGATCGAGTAGCAGAAATCTACACAAAAAAAGGCACTGTCCTTCGGGCATACAATAACATATGTCCCTTACCAATAAATTGAACCTGTTCAACGGCCGGGAGTATGTTGTGGCCTACAACAACATTACGCCAGCAGAGGGCTCTAGTATCGCTGTGGATGCACATCGGCGCTCTCTGGCGGGACGAGGATGCAAGCATCACGGCGGTTAACAACTTTTTTATATAGATACAAAATTGTCTGCACACTTCATCCATACCTTTGTAAAGGAAACAAAATAAATTGATTGTCACACAAACAACTACTTCAGTAGACCCAAATAATCAAATCCCATGTAGTTTTTATAATTATTTGACTTGTGAACATAAGAGTAGAAAAATATTAAAATTCATTTGGAAAGCGAAAAACTCATATAATTCTTTTTCAAACATAACGCAAAGACATTATTTCCATAATCGTTTTTTTTTTCTTTAATATAGTAAACAATATAAGTATTATACTGGGTGTTAGGGGAACGCTTCCGAAAACGAAAACCAGTGATAGAGTAAGTGATTCTGGATACATTGCAATGAAAAAATGATTACTTTATTTTTCAAAAAAATATGTTATTTTTATTTTTTTTTCATTTTTAGCGATGTAAAATAAGTTAAGTATTACTATTTTTATCAATAAATTTGTCTATTTATTGATTTTCCATAAAAACGCAATGTAATTAAAACTCGAAAAAATCAGCTGATCGGCGGTAGACGACCCCGAGAGTTCAATAACCTTTGGTACGTTCAAAGGGCACTTTCATTCTTTTTCCTTCACCACTGGTAGAATGAAAAGAGACAGAAGATACGAGTGAGAAACTTCAGCGACATCTAGCGACGAAAAGCTCTTAGTTCTCTACGTTGCTAGTTTAGGTACCCATTTTCCTGTGTTTTATTAAGAAAATGCAATGAAAACGCAATTACTAAAAGTAGTTTTAAAACGGCGTTTTGTTATTTTTTCAAATTGTTATTTATTGATGATCATTCCCTTTCACGCTATAACAATAAGTAAAAACGAGAGCGAAGATACTGCAGGCCAAGCTCGTAAACTTCTAGATACATCTAGCGGCAAATCGCGGCGGTTTTGATGATATAGCGAATGAGAATGATAGATGCAGCGCCATCTAGTAGTGTAAAGCAAAATCAATCGGTAGTGTTTCCGTGTTAAGGGGTGCCACTTTTTAATGAGTAAATATCGTTTTTGAATAACCTACTAGATAAAATGAATGTTCTTCTGGAAAACATTTGTTTCGACTAAACATTTCAAAACGGTTTAGTAACTCTAGTATTTACAAAATTTTTATCTTTGTAAATTTTTAAAAATAAAACTTACATTACATGATTTTGCTAAGTGCACTTTTTTATTTACTTGTCTTTAAAATGTGAGCTTTATTTTAATGAGTTTTTTTACGTTAGCGCAGAAAAGTTTAAGACAAAAATCATTTGATTTTATTCAGAGCATGTAACTAATAACGATATCTTTTAACTCGCATAGTAATTTATTTAGGTTTTATAAAACACAAAAAGATCAGATAAATACATTTCATTAAAATGAGGGGAAGGTGTTAAATCATTTTTATTTCATCAAAATCTAAATGTATAAGAAACTTCATTTCTCCAGAAGTGTGTGTGTGTGTGTGTGTGTGTGTGTGAAATCATTAAAAAAGTAAACTTTATGAAAAACTATTGGGAGTCCCAATTGAATTTTTTCCCGATTCAATTTTAGCATAATTATTTCTCTTGTTTCCATTTGAAAACTATAAAAAAGCGGAATAGTTGTTTCTCTTAATAAATACTTACTTTCCATGACTAACCCAATAGTATAATCCTATCGGGTTATTCATGATTAAACGCGATGTTGAATTGTAAAACTTCACTTAGTACTTTTACGACAAACTTTATTTATAAATCTAAACACATAATTAATTACTATTAAAGTTGCTAAGTGAAATGAGTGGCAGCCCTAGATATCATTGCGAACTGCAGTGACCGGTGAGTGTGTTTATAAAAGATGCCGCTTCACTTTTCCGGTCCGTCCGCTTCCGGTTTCTGAGACATGCTGCCGCTACACGTGCTGCCAGCTCTAATTTTTTCCCTTAATTGGGTAATTTTTTTACGGGATAAATTCCATAAAAATTGTATGATATTAAAGAAAGGTAAGCTATCTTTTAAATATCTATCTATCTTTTTAATATTTTTGATTACATGGTATTATTAATTTTTTTTTTTTAAATTGAAGTTGATGTTATTGAAATAACATTAATCACTTTTAAAAATTTATTCGTATAACAATAAGTTAAGAGCGTCGCAAATAAGGTTGGTTAAGTTACGTTAGCCAATGTTCCTGCCAATCGGTTAACAAAAACGGTACCCGGATAATAATTTCTCTGTCTTACTTTTATTTATTAGGATACGGTGAAAACAATTATTAATGATGCACAACATTATTTCAAACATTTTACTTATTTTGTCATAAAAATAATTTAGTATAGCGTACACTTTCAGACAATTTTCATTTGGTTTATTTCGGTATTATTAAAAATTACTTACGATATCAGTTCTTGTAATAATTCACAATGTTAAAACATAAATTTGATCGAACACGTAATGCACAATCCATTCAATTGCAGATTTCATTTCTAAAACATTTTTGGGAATTTGGTGAAAAAGTTGCAACACTCGAATATTCAGTAGGAAGAACTGAAGAACGAATGATCGCGGCTTCTTTGATATGAGCGAGGCATGAGGCCGACCAGTGGCAAAAAACTTTCCATCTCGGTTTGCGAATGCGTATTTTAAAGTTTATTTCGTTAAATTAGTTATCATAGTTTTTAGTTGAGCGTGTGAGGTTTATTTATTTAGTGTTTATTTTAAGTTTTATTAGACAATAAGTGCATCTCATCATGCCTAATGCGTATGTGTACAGTGCTCGTGAGTATGGGAACATGGTTATGTGTTTAGGAGAAGCACGTGGCAATGCTTCTCTAGCTTTGAGAATTTACCGGGAAAGATTTCTTAATGTGCATCATCCAGGAGACTCTCGAACCATTACTGCTGCGTTTCAACGACTGTTGGAGAATCAACCGATCGTTCCGGTGGCGGTCGGCGGTGGGCGACCAATAGACATTGCAGCCGAGGAGCGTATTCTCGATGTGATCCAACGCAACCCCCGTTTGGGCACGAGGACTGCTGCGAAGTTACTGCAGCGGCCAAATGGGCCCTCAGTTTCGCATTGGACGGTGTACAAAGTTTTGCGAAGAAACAGAATGCGGCCTTACAAAATTCATAAAGTGCAATCTTTGATACCCGAAGACCTACCCCGTCGTCACACTTTCTGCCGTTGGTTGTTGGATCAATAACAGCGTCTTCCAGGATTTATTCAGCATGTTATCTGGACAGATGAATCTACATTCACAAGGAACGGCATGTGGAATAGACGAAATTCACATTTATGGTCTGAAACCAATCCACGTGCCACTCAAGAGACTGGCCACCAAACCCGATGGTCGGTCAACGTTTGGGCTGGCGTCTTCAACAATGTTATCTTTGGGCCGGTGTTTCTACCACAACGACTTGACGGAGCTGGGTATCTTAGGTTCATTAATGAGAGCCTTGATGAAATTCTTGAAGGCATATCATTAGCTGAGCTAAGAAGGGCTTGGTTTCAACACGATGGCGCACCGCCGCATGTGGTACGGCCGGTACGTGAGCGTCTCACTGAACTATTTGGTGACCGTTGGATCGGGCGATTAGGACCGCAAGCCTGGCCACCACGATCTCCTGATTTGACACCTTTGGACTTTTTTTTGTGGGGGTGTGTTAAAGAAAAAGTGTTCAATAGAGTTTGTGACAGTGCTGAGGAAATGCGGGCAAGAATTGTGAGTGCATTCGAGACAATAAGAACGAGTTGTATCGAGGACTCAACTCTCATGCCTCGACTTCACGAAGAGACGCGGCGACGGGCTCGAATTTGTGTTGAGATGAATGGGGCACAATTCGAGCCACACTTAGTTAGACCGCGGAGAACATGAACAGGTAAGTACGTTTTTGCATTACAATAAAAATCATGATGTTAAGTTTAACTGGTTAAATTAATCGTTACTTATAATAAAATTAAAGGTTATTGTAATAAATTACTTTACGTAGTACTTACGATCGTCTCTGTGTGTGTTTGTGTGAGCTCGTTTATGCATGTGTGCAACTATCAAAAGCGCTCGCGCCGCGCGGTCGTTCACCCGTGTATTTGTACGTTTTACATTGCGTGCTTAGAAAATACGATTTCGTTAAATACTAATTATTCAAGTAAACAAATATTTTTGTAGGACTCCATTAATATGGTATAATAACCATGTTAAAGATTCGGAAGCGTTTTCCTAACACCTTGTATTATCTCATATTCTACTGTTAAACAGCATGCAAAAACTTAACTATGTATTATATGTCATTCAATTAAAATGTTCCCAATATATTAAATTTTATTTAAGAACTCCTTTACCGAATAAAACATACAACAAAACATAAACACAAATAATAACATTATAAATAGAAAAGCTTATATATTTTAGATAAGGCTGTAAAAGTTAATTCCCTTTTCCTAAACAAAAAGAACAAAAATTATCTTTGGTTTATGTCAGTGTCAAATTGTCAAAGTCAAAACATCACATGCTCGTTTGCATGTGTTATTTTGCACACCATTTTAGTTTTTGTTTTATAAGTGAAATTTGTAATGATGTCTGATGTACCAGACCTTAGTAGTGACGAGGAAAACTATGAAGAGGATGATTGGCAAGAGATGGAGACTTGTAATACAATGTTAACCTGTTTATTTTGCACTGATGTCTTTCCTTCTGTCGACGCAGGTTTTAAACACTGCGAAATAGCGCATAAGTTTAATTTAAACAGTTTAAAATTGAAGCATAATATGGACTGTTACTCGTACATCAAAATGATTAATTTCATTAAAACCCATAAACCCACCTCTGAGGAAATCATGAGTATGTCAGAGGCTCCTTGGGATGATGAAGCGTTTTTAAAACCTGCAGAAAATGATGAGTGGCTTATGTTTGACTTCGAATCATTGACGGATAAACCCAGTTCTCCTAAAATTTATCATGCCAATGTAGAAAATGGACTGGTCACACTGTCGCAAACACACTTCATAGAACTTCAGCGCACAATTCAAACTTTAACTGCTCAAGTTAATGAGAGTCAAACACATCTTCAAATGGCAAAAGAGGATATTAAAAAAATGCAAGATTCTATGAAGAATATAATTGAAGGTGGGCACTCAAATAGCAATGGTGAGGAGAGTAATTACATAGTTAACTGTGTATCTAAAGTGCCCCTAGAAGATGACGAAGGATACTTTAATACATATGCCCATTTTGGTATTCATTATGATATGTTATCAGACAAGGTCCGAACTGAAAGTTACAGAGATGCTATCTTAAATAACAAAGATACAATAAAAGACAAGACAGTATTAGATCTGGGATGTGGTACAGGGATACTTTCAATGTTTTCTGCTACTGCTGGGGCTAAAGCAGTCTATGCATTGGATCAATCAGAGATAATATACCATGCAATGGATATTATAACAGAAAACAATTTACAGAGTGTTATCAAAACAATCAAAGGCAGATTAGAAAATACAAATTTAGATGAAAAAGTTGATATTATTGTATCCGAGTGGATGGGTTATTTTTTACTTTTTGAAGGTATGCTAGACAGTGTAATTTATGCAAGAGACAAATGTCTCAAACCTGGAGGGATATTGTTACCAAATAGATGTAACATAAGTCTCACCGCTTGTGGTGATATTGACAAACACAACAACTTAATAAACTTTTGGTCTGATGTTTATGGTTATAAAATGAACTGTATGAAGTCTGAAGTGGTCAGAGAAGCAAGTGTTGATGTTGTTAATTCTAAGCATATTATATCGGATGCCTTTATTATAAAAGAAATTGATATTATGACTTGTGATATAAGTACCATGGACTTTACATCTGACTTTCAGCTTATTATTACTAAGGATAGCAAATTGACATCACTTGTTGGTTATTTTGACACTTTCTTTGATCTTCCCAACAAAGTGTCGTTTTCCACTGGACCTGGATCCACAACCACACATTGGAAGCAAACTATATTTTACTTTAGAGATTGTAAAGAAGTGAAACAAGGAGATATCATAAAAGGCACTATCACCTGTAACAGACAAAAATCTGATGTAAGGGCACTAGAAGTGCAAATTAATATATTTGGGAAGAACCACAAGTATATTCTTAGTTAATATATGAAAAAATTGTGTGTAAGTGAAATATGTGATTTGTCTAAATTTAAAGGGTATAACAAAAACATGCATTTTAATTCTAGTACATTCTGAATTTTGGATATGCTTATTTTAAAATAAACTAAGAGATTTAATCAAAACTAAAAAGAAATGTTCTTTCTGAATAGTTTTTACTATAATACATAATTGACGTCCACAATTATTATAATGTTTATATTCAGCGACTATAAATGAGAACGAAATTTTTAGGAAGTACAAATATGTTGTTTGTTCCTTAGATTCTGTTCTAATTTTATTATTAATGAAATCAAAATATTTTTTTACTTTTTTCCAATATTCAATTATACTGTTGGATGAGTGTAATGTGGTAATAATGTATGTTGTGTAAAACAAAACATTAAATCTATAACTGTAGATTTTATTGTTAGTTATAATCTTTTGTGCAACATGTTGTACAAATTTTATTGTACACACAGCAGCTCATTAGGTTATCAAAAATGATATATCTTTACAATATTGATCCTTAATTTATCATATTAAATCACAAAATCAATTGACAGATTTTGAATAACCTGATGTGTTGTTGATTGTGATCTCTCTTCATTTGTATGTATTATATTGCTCAGCTAAATATTCTATTGGATGCAGCTGTACAGGTGTAAAGGATTGAGATGCTGATTTGCTTATTGCAAAATGTTTATGGTGTATAATAATATGACCTAAATACCTGTAAATAAAACGCATTTTCTACGAAAATCTTTATTTTATTTTACATATATTTTACACATACCTAAAGGTGTATTTAAATTTATTTACATAATGTAAAAAATAACAATGGAAAGATGAAATCAACATGTGATTTGAGATTTTTAGTTAATACTTAAAATTATACTGAAAGTTATTGTTAGAAGATAGTGATGAAATGTTTCACAACAAGCGAGAGTAGGCAACGTGTAGCGTTTGATGGGTACATACCGATGTTGACAAAATCGTGTCAATTACACAAACATATTGATAAATTTATCAATAAGCTAAGTGCTTTGGACATTAAATGCTTATTTACTTATACTAACTTCAAGGAGTGTAGAGTATCTAATATAATATGGAATGTAGGCATCTATGATAACATCGAGGAAAAAGGTATTATTGAGTTCAGGCTCTATACTGTTTCGTTATCTGTCCCACTCTTATCTTTTGTATTTTAATGTAATATAGTAGGACAGAGCACGATGCAATGCACAATTTATGTAAAATTGTTTATGTATCATTGCTGTTTTGGTTGTGCATTCTATCTACTCTAACTTATGTATCTATAATGACCTAGAGTAGGACAGCACGGTGATGTTCAAGATATATTGAAAATTCGTTTGAATGGTGCGCTAGCAGAGGCAGTGTTCAGTGTAAGCTGTTTAGAAAGACAACAATTATACGACGATATCCATAAGGCTCAGTACGCTAATGTCTACGGTTTGATAAAGCTATATCCCTCAATCAGAATGACATTTCATAATCTATACTTTAGGTTACATTGAATATTACCTTACTTAAGTTTTATCTAATAGGTAGGTACATACACTAAATGCACAATATACAGATGTCATCAATACTTCTATAATATTCCAAATAGACGATAAATATTATAAAAAGAATATTGTTATACTACATTAAGCGTCACCAGTTGGATTAGATCTATCCTAACATCCCTTAAATTATAAACAGGGACCTAAATATCGTGATAATGGATACTGTTTGATATTCAATGAAAATGGTCCCATGTTCCTATCAGGAAAACTAGGCCTTCCGTGTGGTATGTATGTACTATGTATACATGTATAGCCATCTAATGAGAGAAACTTGGCATTTTGGATTTAACGATTGGCCTTTAGTTTAAAGTAAATTTGTTCTGCCAACATATAGTTCTACTTGAAGGACGGTACATTTAATTTGGGTCCTTCGACACCTTTATATTATAACTTAGATTTTCCCGAACATATTAATGATCAGTCTACGGTTCATTAAGTAGTACATGCCTCACGTATTTTTCTGTTTTGAGCGTCACCTACAATATTGGCGACTAAGTATTGTTTTCTTCTTTAAATATAAAATAATGGATAAAAGGAAGTTCATACATTTATAATTTATTATGAAGTTTTCACTACCTATAGGTAATATAACTAACCACCTACCTATGCCTAGAACTTGAGATGGCGATCATTTAGAAAATAATTTCATATTAAATAACATTTGGTCAGAAATATCAAGATCTCCAATTTAATCGGAAACATTAAAATTAATAAGCGTATTTTTCATATGGGTTAAGATTAATACTAATTAAGCTACATATATCAAGTTACCAATGTAGGTAATATATAATCATTATTAAATTTCACTATCAATAGCAAGATATTTTCATTCATTGAAGAGTATAGTGTATGATTTTATGATATAAATTGTTGCTCCATCACCAGCATTTTTGATATAAGTAAATATCCTTATATGTATACATTTATAATTCACCTAAATTAGATAATAATTTCAGTACAATCTGTCATGAGTCATATAGAAACGCTAGGTCGTAAGCTCACAGAATCTATCGCATTTCATATTTTGTTATCGAAACGAACAGACCCGTCGACTACCTACGTTTAGTTAAAATATTTAACCATATTCACATAGAAATCTCATTTGATATTAAGTTATCATTAGAAGCTTCGAAATAAATTGGGGCTGCCCAAATGAATCTAATTTAGCTACAATAAAATCCCTTAACTAGGGGCGCGTCCGCCCGGGGGCGGTGCCGCCATCTTCTTTTGTTTGCTCACTATGTCGTCTTCCATGTAGAGACAATAATACATCGAGGCGTTCGTCGCGATGTGCTCCCGACACATGCGTTTGTGCGCACACAATATATAAAAAGCATCGCACACTCAGTTTAGCTTTTCTTTAGTAGAGAGTTAAATACGTTGTAACAACTAGTTTTAACACTATTTACAAGTGTGGCTAAATATTATTCTTCTGTGGGCGGCGGGGGGTTGTTGCTTTCTTCTTCTTGCTTAGCGCGAGCCTCCGCATCTGTAAATTTAATAAAATGCTTTATAATTGCTGTTGCACCTACATTTCAGTTGCACATGTAGCTAAATTTATGTAAGTAGAACGTAGAGTAGACAAAATAATGACTGTGATTTAAAATTGTCATTAAAGAATTACCTAATTATAAACCAAGAAGACTAAAATGATTAAGTTCAGAACCAAATAGCTACTCTAGCGTCAAAGATGCGCTTGGCTCAGTTACCTGTCTAAGTGCAACATGGTTAAGGATCTCATCTAAGTATATTTGTCTTATTTGTTTTTATGCCAAAGTTTGATAAATAAACTATATTTCAAGATTATGTAAGTGTTTATTGTGAAATGACCAATTTAAGTCCTTTTTTATATCATTTACTCCAACACCTCGTCATAATGTTATATGCAGATATCATTCTCCACGTACGGTGATTTGCGTCAACATTAATAATTCTAAATATAGCAATATTACAGTAAATATTATAAATCGATAAGCGCCTTTCACTTTAAAATTAGATTTTGAACCCATAAATTACATTAAAATGAATAAAAATGCCTTACATTGAGGTTTTAAGAAAAATAAAAAATCGTGATAAGAATAATATTTATCGAAGAGGAACCCAAATATTTGAGAAAATGCACAAAAAGCCATTGATGTCTCAAGCGTAACTATTGTTTTTAGTATTTATAGCAAATTTTGTGAAAAGAACCCGAAGATCGAACATTTTTTTTATTAGTTTAAAGTGTATTTAGGAATTGACATGTAATTAGCAATGATGAGTTTGATAAATAATATTTTTCAAAGAATTCATTCGTAAATATTCGTTGGCGTGTAGACTACTACAATAAAACTAATTATTAATGAAGGAGAAGATTCTACGCCGGGTAAAACTAGGAACCATGAAAAGAAGGAAATAAACTAAAGCAGATTTGATCTAGATATACAAGCGTAACAGCAGTTGCAATGTTAGTAGAGATTAGCAATAAATAAATATATAATTTCTTTTATTTATTCGTGCTAAGATCCCGAGTTAGGTAAAATATTATTGTTTTTTTCTAGGTCGGGTGCTGTTCCGTCAAAATATTAAATGTTGGTAATATAAACTGTACTGGTATGTTTTTGTGCACTATATTATGTTCCACGTGGCTAATCTATCCAATTGGCTAATCTATGTCAAAATTTGCCGAGATGAGATATGTTCAGGGGTACGTTCAATGCTATGAGGCAGTTATTGAAAAGTATTTATTATATTAAAGTATTACAAGTATCGAGATGTTTTTCCTCAATGTTGCCTTCTACAAATTAAAGTTTCCCGAAATGCCATTAGATTTTGGTACACCTTTAATTACATTTTTTTGCAGTTTAACTTTATCATGTTGGGTACTTCAAAGTCGTCGAATAGATTATAGTAATAGGTAACTAAGAAAGATGGTGATTTTACCTTTCGCAGCTTGCTCTTTCCATATTTTCTTGTTATCACTCAGACACGCGATCCAAGGCTTACGGATTTTAAACTTACTGCTACTTTCACTACCTGAAAATGAAATGATTAGGTTAAAATGAGTGCTAACCTTAATACTCACAATAGTGGCTCACAGAAAAAAAATGTAGATAGGTCCTAGGTAGATCAAACGCGTTAACTTCTTCAGCATCGAGCTAATCCACCCAGCATTCTTCACTGGGCCCGCGTGAAGGTTCCAATGAGGATTGGTGGTGGTGGAATATTTCTTTACGGTGGTGGTAGAATACGCTCTGTAGTAGCGAAAAGTAACAAGTGCTTGAAAGATTCGTCAGTCCTGTTAGGTCCTGGGTAGCTCAGTGGTTAGAGCAGTCGCCCGGATTGCGAAAGGTTCTCAGGGTGGCAGGGATTAAGTGGGGTTTTTAAGCATTTTGTATTGAGAAGAGAATTGGTGGTGCTAAAGCACAGATATTTTTTACCTCCGTAGCCGAGTGGTTCACATGCCGGTTTCAAGGTATCGCCATCTCTGGATCCCGGGTTCGATTCCCGGTCGGATCAATGATAAAACCAATCTACCCATAATTTCGCAAGCACCCAATGAAGATTGATAATGCTAAAGTACAGGGGGCCAATTCTACTAAATATATTTTGTTAAAAATCGAATGGAAAAAGGATCGAAACCGAACGAAACTACAGTTTTTAATGGTTTTCCTATTCTACAAAGTGATATACGATACAATTCCAGTTCTATTTTAGCTGGAATTGTATCGTATGTCACTTAGTAGAATAGAAAAACCATTAAAAACTGTAGATTCGTTCGGTTTCGATCCGTTTTCGATTCGATTTAAACAAAATTTATTTACTAGGATTGGCTCCCAGGTGTTCTATCCAGTAATCGGCACTAGGATCACATGGTTATTGTAAATCTTTTTGCAAAAAAAATTTACCACCCATCCGATTACCGCCTTTGCGATCGTCGCTTAATCTCCGCATCGAGGTTTTTACTATTAATATTGAATTAGACGCGATACGAGCATAAGGAATATACGGTTCCAATAAAGGTTTACGAAATCAAACTAGATGTCGCTACGGTAGTTTCTTGATTTCTCCATGACAACCCTTCCGTTTTCTTTCATGTATAAAAGTAAATTAATTTTCAAAACTCAAGAAGCAACTCATATTCTATTTGTACCTTTTCGTATTTGTATTGATATCTAAGTTTCGAACT